TGCGGGCGTCCACCTCAGCCCAGCGCGTGTAACTGGCTTTTTGTTGTTTACTGCAAGCTTTGAGGACACGGCAGACAAGAAGTGGACTTACAGAGGAGCGGGTCCTCCCTTGGAGAAGGCTGTTGGCTCTGAGGGGCACTTGCTGGGTTCTCTAACAGGAGGCAGACTGGCCTGTGGCCTCTGCCCAGGTCTCCCTGCCCTCCACCCTGGCCGGTTGGCTTTGTTATGAATGTGGAGCAGTTGAAGTCACTGACTTGGGTGCCGGCCAGCCAGCGTTTCAGTGCTGTCTGGCCCTTTCCTGGACGCCGGCGGCCAGCAGGCTGGTGGATCAGAGGTCCGGGGAGCTGCCTGCGTGAAAGGTGTGTTTGCCGCCTTCCCCGTGGGGGCACCCACAGCCCAGGGTCTTGGGGAGAGTCTTGGCGACGCTCTTTTCTCTGCCTCCCAGCTTGGTCCCCATGTGCCATTGTGTTTGCTGTTCCAGCGCTTGGACAGACTGATGCGGTTTGTTACGTCTTTGTCCACTGTTTCATTGTTGAAAATCTTCTCTTTGGTTAAGTAAATATTTACTGAAGGCAAGTGAAATAGCTCCATGAAGCCTGAGGTTTCTGCAGGTGTGTGTGTGTGTGTGTGTGTGTGTGTAAAAACACCGGGGATTATTCAGTCTGTATTGTCTTTTTCTTCGGTAAATAAAATAACCCTGCGGAGAAAATACTCGTTGAAATAATAGCAAGTGGAAGTTTCTTCTGTCGGGAATAGTGACACCCAAATGCGCTTACTTTCTGCTCTGCTTTTGTATTTGGGGCTTGAGAAACTTTTTATTGTTTTGGAAAAGCAGTGGGAATTTTATCAGACGTGTTCCTGAGTCTGCCTGTCTTCTCCTTTTCCTGGAATCTTTCTTTCAAAGTCCTGGTTTCCTCTCTGAGAGGCGCCATCACTGAAAAAGTGAAGAGTCTGGCTAGTGTGGGCCTTTGGGGTGCTCTCTTGGCTTGGTGGAAGAGGCCCCCAGCACTTGGAGGACCATGGGACTGGGTGAGGCCAGACCAGGATCTGGTAGCTTGAGGCACTGAGGTTTCTGTTTTCTTTTTTCAAAATCTTCCAATAAGTACACAACCTCAGACGCTCTTGTGCTTGTCCCCGGAGGTGGGAGGGCACCCCCGTTTCAGGCCTCCTGCCGTCTCTTCCTCACTGTGGGGCTTTGCTCTGATTTCAGTAACTCCCATTCTGCAAGAGAAGCCGAGGTCTAGTAGATTTCTAGCCACTGTTGAATTGTGACACACACATATTTCTTTTTAATTTAGAGGTTGTTTTCTCAATCCGAAAGCAGTAATTGTGAATTAGAATTCCTGGAAATACTTTCCTTCCATAATGATATGGCACAGATGTTTCAGCACTGCGCCCACTCCCACTCCACTCTTAATGTCAATTTAGTGGAGCTAAAATGTGGGTAATAGCTGTGTGCTGTGAGGGGCCTGTCCGCCCCCCAGCACCCCTGAGCCATGTGGTCCCTCTGTGCTGTGGTCCCTGTGTCAGAACAGTGAGCCCTGTGTCCCAGTTACACATCAGCCTGTCTGTGGGATTTGGACACAGACTAGTCCCCCAACTGTGTCCTCTTAGCGGGCACAGTGACGGGAGAATGATGTCGGGGTTCTTCAGACTCCAGTTCCCTCAGAAATGTATGCTTTCATGATATGTTGTGAAAGATTTTGTGAAAGCTGAAAAAATAAAAATCATTTGTGATTTTACCATGCAGAGAAAAAAGCAGTTTTAAAATGGTGTTGTATTTACTTGCAGACTGATTTTCGATGTATAATTTATATGGAGATGTAGATTTTGTGAGCCTGCCTATGAACCTTTTTTAGAAACTTGGATTTTTTAAGCATAACTATATGTGTGTGTGTGTGTGTGTACATATATACATGTATATGATCATTTTCCATTTCCCAAAATGTTCTTTGAGAATATGGTGACATCACTTGCCATCCCTTATAATTTGGCTCTGGAAATACCCACATAATGTGCCAATTTCTTTTTTTAAAGATTTATTTATTATGCTTACAGAATTGGGGTACAGGCCAGAGGTGCAGTGGGTGAGAGGATTCACCAGAGACAGAGTAGGGAGCAGAACAGGCAGATTGACAAAGTACACTGCTGAGGGGAGCAGCCCTTTCTGCCACACCATGTGGGTCACCTCCCTGGCTGGGGATCGAACTCATGCTACAGTGGCTTCTGAGAGCTTCATAATGCAGTGCTTTAGCCCGTTGCGCCACCAGGGAGAGTCCGATAATGTGCTGATTTTTTTTTTTTTTTAAAGTCCATTTTAAAGAGCAAGAACCTAACTTCCTAATACTAAAAATAATTGGTTTTAAGAAGTAATTGAGAACATGGGAATGTGTGCCCCACTCAAGACAGACTTATTCTTTTCTACATTTTTAATAACAAATATTTTCTTTATATGATCCTCTGCATAGCAACGACTGTATTTTCATTAGCCACTCTTAACTAATTAAGCAAGAGAAGTGTTCAAGTCAAGTTATTCTGTTGGAAAAAAATCCCGACTATTTTGAAACAGTTATTTCCTTTACGTTTGAAGTAAGATATTTGCAGCTGATTTTTGGGTTCAGTTACCATGATCATTGGTGCCATTGGCTGTGCTGTGATTTCAGGATGAATTTGACTATCCCTGAGCTTCCAGGCTGGATGGAGCAGGAAGCGCTAAGCTATCAGGGAAATAGAGCCAGATGGTTTCCACGGTGGGAGTCCAGCCCCCAGCAGAGAGGATGCTACATGTGACAGATGAGGGTTGGCCCCAGCAGATGTTGGTGGCATTTGGGCACTTTCACCTGGACAGGAAAGAGGGCCTTCCCCTCTGCTGCATCTCTTGAAATGGCTGTGTAGACGCTGCTCTGGCTGGTATGCCAGGTGTCCCAACAGCCAGCTCTCATGGACCACAGAGGAGGGGTGATGGTGATAGCTGGGGCTCAGTGTGCAGTCCCTCAGGCTGTCACGAAGCTACATTCTGGCTTGTCCTCCTAGGTGTCTTTCCCAGGAATCTGGGTAGGTCATTTAACCCATGTCATTTGAGTTTACTTGGCTCTCAAAGAAAGTTGTAGTTACACCAAATGGAGCCGCCCATCAGTGGACCTTGATGTTGCTTTTCAATTTATAAGCTGCAACGGCGTCATCTCTAAACACCCATCTCTAAGTTGTTTGCTTTGGCTTGCCTTTGATATGAGGGAGCTGATTTGGGGAGAAAAGCATAATTCTGAATGTCAGGTACCCCTGTGTTTATACATCTGTGCAGCTACTTAGGAGTAGCATGATTTGGGGCATATTTATTAACCTCTTTGACCCTCATCTGCAAAATAAGTCATATTAATAAATGCTTTCAAGATGAGTAAGAGTTCGTATTTGACAAGAACAGGGCATAGAATAAGTTTTCCCTTTGTATTAGTTCCTCTGATGAAAGATTCACACAGAGTCATCTGAGTGCCTTGTGGGTGTGTGACTGACTGTGGAGCATCCATCCCCCGGAAGAAAGCCCCCTTTGTATGCAGCCTTAGCCCTGAGGTAAAATTGAAAATGCAACACTTTATAAAAATATGCCCCCACATACAGTGACCTCACAAAGTAAAGGTTGGGGCTTTTCCCTTCTTTTTCTGTCTCTAAACAGCCTATAAGGTCCATCTGTTCAGGATGAATGTGGTACCCAGATAGACAACTTGCTTCTATCTCACTTCCCTCCCATCCCAACAATGGTGTTCCATCTTTACAACTGAAGATGACCAGGGCCCATGATCCTTTTTCAGCCCAAGAGATCATTTTTACTTGCGTAGTATTAGCAGAACGCGTAAGCAGACCTAGCTGCAAGGGAGGCTGGAAACTGTCATCTTCAGCCAGCGAGGCACCTGTGACAGCTTCTATTGCCATAAGGGTCTGCGAACAGTGATCTGTCATTGTCAGTAATTTTATTGGAACCAGCCACAGCCATTTGTGTACAAATTGTCTGTGGCTGCTTTTGTGTGACAGCGGAAGAGTAGAGTAGTTATGACAGAGACCATATTGTCTGCAAAACCTAGTTTTTATCTAATCCTTCCTAGACGTTAGATAGGGGAAATAAATATAGGGAGGGCAACTGATCTCTGGCATGGAAAGGGGCCTGCTAAATAAGCAGGTGGAAATTCAGTTAAGACGTGGGTTGTTAATTTAAACTTTGTATTATGGTACTTTACAAACAGAGAAGTACAGAGCTTTGGCAGTAAAAATCCCCCCATTCTTACCCTATCCCAAACTTATTTTTCTGGAGTAGTTTAAAGCCTACCCCCAGCCCATGCATTTATTTCCCCCATAAATACTTGTAAATTGGGTGTATAGTTGGGTAGTGGAGTTTAAGGAGGGGCAGGGGCAGGTCTGTCGTCCAGAGTGACCTGCTGCGGGGGCACCACTGACCTGGCCAGCTGTAAGGAGCAGAGAGAGGACAGTGCTGACCTCCTGAGGTTCTTTTTTGGAGCTCAGCCATAGGTGAGGGTCTTCTCTCCTTACACGCCTTCACCCAAGAGGCCTTTTCTTGCTGGGAAAGGACTTTGGTAGTCTGAAGCCTCTGAGGGCGTGAGCTGGTAGGCGAATGTCTGCTGAAGAAAGTACTAAGGAATACATTTAAGGAGCCAGGGGGAGAACAGTTGGTGCGACAGGGAGAGAGCTTCCTGAAGGGAGCGGCCATCTTTAAAACGAAGCATCGTCAGTCAGTCCGTGCCCTCTTCCTGCAGCCCATTCCTGCCTGGCAGGACCCTTGCCCTTTGCTCACTGCTTCTACTCTAGGTCAGTCTTCTTCGCCAGGGTCTTCTCACTGGTCTCCCGTCTACCGCCCCTGCCTCCTCCAGACCCTTTCAGGCAACCTGTAAGTGTGGCTCTTTGTCTCTCTACACACTGCGAGTGGGGGGTCCCACCTTATTCATAAGAGCCCCCTCCTGGGTTTGCCAAACCCCCCCCCCCCGGGTATTCCCACTCTGGCCCTAATCTGAATTCCTCTTCCACTCCCCCTCCTGGGCAAACAGAAGCCCCCCAGGCCTGCTGCCCTGTGCCAGCTCTGTGTGTTCACCTGCCCCTGGAATCTCCTTAGCCTCACTCTGTCGGAAGCTCTGGGCACCTAGGGAAACGGTGGGCACAGTCAGCAGGTAGAGGGTGCTGATTTCCGTTAGGCACCCCTAGGTTTCTGATCCCCGTCTCGGAGGGGCTCCTTCGCCCACGCGGAGGGTCAGCTCGTCCTCCCTGGACATGTGCGCGGCCTGTGTGACCTCTGTGCACGCTGCCTTGTGTGCTGTCACCATGGCGGGGGCAGCTCCAGCCCTGCAGAGGCGAGAGTCTCCGAGGCCCAGCTCGGAGCAAGGCCTCTCGCTGAAAGTGCCGCCCGCCGCCTGCAGGAGGTAGGTGTCGGGGAGAACAGGACTTGGACATGCTGTCAGCATGAGGGCTCCTCAACCTGCAGAAAAGCACAGTTTTGTTTTTTTTTTTTATAATATAATAGTTTATTTTTACATCATTTTGTACATTTTTTTTTCATCTCAATTGTAATCTCCATGGGTTTCCCATCACCAAGTCACCCGTGTGCCATCACCATAATCCCGTGCACTTCCCTCCCCACCCCCCATTTTTGATCCCATTCCCTACTCCACCCCCACAAAATGTCTCTGGTATATGGCCTGCTCATTATTTTTGTTATTTTCTCGCCTGGTCCATTATACTCCTGCTATGAGCGAAACCATCCGGTATTTTTCTTTCTCTTTCTGGCTTATCTCACTAAGCATGATCTTCTCCAGCTCCATCCAAGTTGCTGCAGAAGACATGTGTTTCTTCTTTTTTTTTGGTTGCTGAGTAATATTCCATTGTGTACATGGACCACATCTTTTTTTTTTTTTTATCCAGTCATCCACTTTTGGGCATTTGAGCTGCTTCCATGTTTTTCCAATTGTAAATAAAGCAGCAATAAACATGGGGGCAGAAAAGCACAGTTTTTACCTCGTTTGTAGTAACCGAGAAAATGAAGACTACTTACCAGGCACTGTCCCAAGCGGAGCAGCATTTCCCTGACTCGTGCTGGGAGCTTCGAGGGTTCCCTGAAAAGCCAAGGCTGAGCCAGAACCCAGTGGTGCCGTGGGAGGCACCAGAGGAGCAGGTGACGGCCACTGCAGGGGACCACGCACCCCCAGCCGTGCCCCCCTCACCATGTCACTTATCCGTCACCCCCCGACTGCTCACGCGTCTCTCCAGTCGCCCTGCTGTGTTCTCAGTGCATCTGTCTACACTTCGGTAATCAAATGTAAGAGGACCTTCACTTTTATAGCAGCGGCTTACCCCACGGAATAACGACTCTTTCTTCCTCGCTGTCGTCTCAGCTCAGCAGAGGATGGGGAGACCAGTCTAAGTGACGCAGCGCTTGCTTGTGCTGGCAGAGAGGCCGGGCTGCTCACTCGTCTCCTGTTAATTAAAGCCTGGCGAGGCTGGCACAACGTTGGGGAGCAGATGGGTAGGCGTGGATCGGAATGGATCAGGCGGCCTGCTGAAGGCTTCGGGAAGGACGCCGCCCGGACGAGTGGTCACTGTCCCCTGTGAGTTCACGGGCTGATGCTGGGGCATAATGACAGAGTCCCGGCCTGCGAGGTGGGCACGCCTGGCACAGGAAGGGTCTTCTGCTCCTATGTGTGTGCATTTGCGATTATGTGGTTTTTCGTTTGGGGATTTTACTTTAAGCGCCGTAGGTAGAATTACTTGTACACCATCATAATTTGCTATTTATATGTCCTGCGCGGTGACCCCCAGGTCTCACTAGCAGCCGCCACTGCCCCATGACGACAGCCGTCAAGACTGTCCTGCGACATGCAATGTGGTGTTAGGAAAGACAGTCACTTACAGCGTTTTGCAGTTATTAAGGAAGGAGACAATTTGTTCTGATATTTTTGCTCTTGCTTTAAGTCCGTCTAAAAACTGTTGTCAGCATGGGAAGTTACTGCTTCGTCCCGTCTCTGCATTCTCCATGTGTTTTCTTACAGTTGTCTCCTCCTTATCTCTGCTTTCACTTTGCACAATTTCAGTTACCCATGTGGTCAACCATGGTCTAAAAATATTACATACAATTAGAGCGCATGGCAGAGAGAGATTGCGCTTAAATGACATTTATTGCAGTATATTGTTTTATTGTTGATCATCGTTCTGTTTTATGACTGGTTGTCACTAATCTCTTACTCTGCCTAGTTTATAAATTGAACTTATCATAGATGTGTTAGGAAAACATAGCACAAACAGGGTTCAGTGCTATCTGTGGCTTCAGGCTGCCCCTGTGGGTCTTGGAAAGGGGGGTGCGTGGGGAACTCTCACATTCTGTGTCCAGTGTCCATCATTGTACTCAGCAAACAGTAAGTACTCGCTTCATGCATTGTTGAATGAATGCGGAGGTGGGTTCTGACTGTTGTTGAATGTAAGAGCTTGTGGAAAGGCCCATGACTTCTTAAGCAAAGTGATTTTTTTGAGGGGAGAAATGTAAGGACAAAAGAGGTGTATGTTTCCAGCCTCCCTTCCCCCCACATCCATTCCCTCCACCCCTAATTGTGCCTCTCTGGCAGGGCTCTTGGGTTTAGCTTAAAACGTTTGAGGGGAGGGTGGGGTAAAGGTGTGTGGCCTCCTATTACTCAAAGGAAAACCCCATTGCCGTGTTTCATGGGCCCTGTTTTGATAAACATAACATTACACACAGCCAAAATGGGCTCCTTATGAATCAGCTTTGTGTCTCACAGCTGAGCGGAGGGAGGTACAGACTTGGTGGGTCACATTTTGGAAAGGGAGTAAAAACTTTCAACTAGAGTGTGTTTCAGCCTGCTGTATGATTCTTTGTAAGTTTGGGAATTTTATACAGATTTAGTTCTTCAACAGAGTACAGGTATTTATCACCACAGCAAATATAATGTATTTCCCCCTAATTGGAGAGCATAGTACTTTCCTTCTAGATATACAAGTGATAAAAAAACAGAGAAGAAAAATCTTAATTGGTACGTTTCCTCTAGGTACATAAGTGATAAATAACAGAGAAGAAAAATGTCAGTTAGAGTGAGCCAGTCTGTATGGGGATGAGCCATGTAGGGTCATGGCCAGGATTTTGAGCTTGGTATGGTACAGCCCGCAGTTGCACCCACTCTGTGTCCTTGCAAATATCCCCAATCCTCTCGGCCTGTGTTTCTTTGCCTGGAAAATGGGAGTAGTTTCAGTACTTCCTTAGAGGCTCATTAATGAGCTCATTCTTGCATAGCACTCCAGACAGTGCTACAGCAGTGTTTGTGTCAGTGACCATAAATCTTGCGTGGCTGGAAGAAAGAGACCCTAAAGTGCCATGAACTAAGAGAGGGGCAGCTTTCATCATGGTTCACGTAACCAGTGAGTTCTAGGCGCTCCAGCCTGTCGTGATCCTGTGAAAAGTCAGGACCCAGGTTCCTTCTATCTGTGTCTCCTCGCTGGGCGCATCTGTGTCTCAGCTCAGGGGGAAAACAGGAGCGGAGGCGTCCTGCCTCGTGTGTTTAAGTCCAGGTGGAGGAAAGGTTCCTCTCCTGCTATGTCCTCGCTTCCTGGTGGGGAGAGTAAGACACCCCCTGACACCTGCCCGCCAGAGGCTGGGGCATGTAATTTCTAGCTGGACAGCCACGCACCCACTTTCAGCCCGCACTTTCGAAAGGAAGCACTGATTGTGGAGCACCTGAGGGCTTAGTAAATGCAGCCATTGTTTGTAGGCTTACTTCTTTTTTAAAATGATCTTTCTGGTAAGGGACAGAAGAATTCCAGGGCTGCTGCAGGACAGGATGTTCTTTCTCCTTCCATTTTCCTTGTTTGTGGGGAGGGACTTTTAAGCACTGTGGTGCCCATCCAGGTAAGCCTGGAGTCGGCGAGCAGAGACAGGGTGGGGACTTGATAAAAGGACGCTGGGCTGATTAGCTGTGCTCCCTCCGAGCCGGCCATTACCCAGTAAGGCCTGCTCTGTAAATGAAACTTAAACCCTTATCTGACTTGGCCAGGACAAAGTACGCAAGCTTCTGAAGAACCTGTTTCTCGGAACCAGGTTGTTATTGCAAGTGTAGAAAAGGAAAGAAGAAGGGGCTTGTACGGGAAATACTGCCCTCGATGTTCTCTCTCAAAGATTTACCTTGTGCTGTGTGCAGAAGGCCAGAGTCTGCTTGCACAGAGATAATCTCTTGTCCCTGCTGCTAAAGGAAAAACAAAGGCCACCTCCATGAGTTTCTGCCTTTAGAAGAAAGCACTCAGGTAAAAATTAACTCTTAAGTAAGCAAGAGCAAAAGAAACACACTCATTCTTGAGGACATCAGGTCGTGAGTAAAGATCTAGTGTCACAGCATTTTTTCATGTTGACGTAACGTTGCGTCACGAACAACAGAGGCTTCAGGTGTGCCTCCGTGTGGATATATTGCCTTCAGCTCACCACCGAAAGCCCGGTTCCTTGCCAGTCCCCTCGTGCCACACTGACCCACTTACCCTCTACTTCCCTTCGGGTAACCACTAATTGGTTTTACAGCCTCAACGTTTGTTTATGTTTCATTTGGTTCATCTGTTTTATTTTTAAATTCCTTAATCAAATGACCTCCTTCGGTTCTTTTATTCTTGGGTTTTATCAATTGCTGAATTCCCAGTGGAAGGACTGAACTGGTATCCCGAGATGCCCCACGGATCTTTTTTGAAACCCATGATTTAGACTTCCAGGTCACATTCTCTGACTCTCGTGTGTGCGAGTAATGCTCAGAGGTTTGATAACGGATGATCGTAAAGAGCAGGCATCTGGTTTTGCCTTTATAAGTAACCCATTGCCTAACTGCTGAAAATAGCTACAGTTATTTTAAACAGTTGGTCCAAAGTTGATAGGGAAGAAAGAAGTGTCTGTTTCTCGACTTTCATTCCCACCCCGCCCCTGCAAAATAATGAACAGAAAGTACTTGAAACCAAAATTTATCTGTAGTTTACATTTACCTCTAAGTAAGTCTTCTAACAGGTGGGATTTGTAGAGTGGCCTGTTTGACTTGGTAACATAAAAAATATCTAAAGTCATGCTTTCCTACTCTCTGACTGGGTTCATCAAAGAAGTAGAGTTTTTGATTGTTTTAAATTAAGTGGTTGCTAAATATATGGAGTGTTGAACTTTTTTCAGAAATTCTGAAATCCTCAAAAGTGGTGGTGACATGTTAATATTTTATGCGAGTAAGACTCTGTTGGAGGACCGGGATGAACACAGATGGCCAAAGTTCATATTTTTAGGGTTTCCACACTGCTCGGGGGTCTTGAGTTAGTAGTTAATTAGCTTCTCTTTAGTTTCTGACATTGAAGGCTGTAAGTATTTGATGGTGCAATAATGAATTCTCAAAAATGAAGGACTTTTTTTTTTTCTCTAAGATTTACTTTTTTATGCACACAAGAACTGGGGTACAGGCCAGAGGTGCTGGGTGGGGGATTCACAAGAGACAGGGTAGGGAACAGAACAGACACATCCACCGAACTCCACTGCTGAGAAGAGCAGCGGGTGGATCAGGAGAGGTCTGCTGTGCCATGTGGGTCACTCCCTGGCCAGGGATCAAACTCGTGCTGCAGTGGCTGTGGACAGCTCCCTAATGCTGTACCTTAAACCTGTTGCTTCACCAGGGATGGCCCTAAATGAGGGACTTTGAAAAGGAAGGCATCCTGACTGCACTCGTGGGGCCAGTAAACAGGTGTTCCGTCCGGCAGCTACAGTGAGGGGGTGAGTTTCCAGAGTTCTGTATTTGAGGAAGGCTAATAGGTTGGTGAAATTCCTTATTAACTCCCAACAGTGCACTTTGTCCCTGGTCCGTTTCTACAAGCAGTGTGTCCTTATGTCTGTCCGCAAACTGTCACAAACCCTCAATTTGATTGTTTTTTACGTGAATGGTTTCAGGGGCTATTTCTTGGACATTGACAGGCTGTTCAAGCCTGGATACCTGGGCTTCTTCTCTGTCCATCTGCCAGACTTTCTAAAGGGAAAGTAGCAGCCTCTCTCTCCAGAAGTGAGGGGGGCCCAGGTGGGGTCTGATCTCTTCTCAGAAGTTTCTTCCCACTTTTCAGCATATCAAAGGAAGGAGAGGGCTATGAGGCAGAGACCATGGGTAGCCTGCAGTGCCTAAAACATTACTCTCTTCCCCTTTGCAAAAATGTTTGCCATCCCCTGTCTTAAAGAAATAGCCAGACAAGTTGCTAAGGGAAGGGCTTTAGGGCCGTAGCCACTGGCTT